CACACACACACACACACACACACACACACACACACACACACACACACACCTCTAGACACAAAACATTGTGGGTTTGGCAACAGGCAAGGTTAATGACGACACTGACAGCACTTCAAAGCACTTGTGCTCGAATAACCACTCAAGTGAGAAGTTCAAGGCAAGTGAGGATGAAAGGGCGAGCGACTAACATTGTGTAAGAGTTTGACAGCTCACAGGCCACCACAGAGATCTACTGTATTTGCACAGGTGAAGTTGGTACTGCACTGTTAGTCTAATGAGTGAATAGAGGTATACACAGGCAGATAAGCCAACAGAAAAGTGATTGATGAACAGCACAAAACAACTAACCCATGCTGTGAAAACCTAATCTTCCCCTGCCTATAATGCAAACAGACTTCTTATCTTGAACTGGTCTGTGTTACAAAATTAAACCATAGTAATCTATTTTTTTACTCACATGTTGTTCTCTGTTGGTCTCTGTTAGTCTCCCTTGCAGTAACATGCAGCTACCACTTAAATAAACTATAGCTTCTTGATGAGGGATTGATAAGTGACCCCCCCCCAAAAAAAATAATTCTACACAGCGAAGTTTCCCCTGAGTTTTTGATTCAGGCTTCATCAGGGGACGTCTTCTTCCCTGTGGCCTCTTTGTTTTTCATCTTTGTGCTTACTAGTAGCAATGAGTGCTCACATAGTTCTCTTTGTCTCTCTTGCACTATTTCCTGAAGTTGCGAATGTTCTGCCAGTTCGTGGTCAGAGTCGAGCCAGCTCTTTCTTGGCTCCTTGAAGTGACACCTAGCCTAATCTCGCTGAGGCACAATTAGCCAAGGCTGGTGGGGAGTGCTCTGAGACAAACCAGAGCCAAGAATTTAGTGACAGGCAGACTTGACAAACAGACGTGTTGCGATTGTTTTGGAAAACAATGGAAAAAGACTGTAATTAGGTAAGGATTTGTTATTCCTGGAGGATATCCAGACTCTCCCTCTGTCAAGCTCAAAGCTCCAGGGCAAAGACAATGCTTTCTATGTACTTGCTTTGAGTGTATGCACAAGCATAATTAACCTCATATTTCTTAAAACATACTCCAGAGATTAGCAGAGCATTTCTAGAACACTGTCAGTCTCAGGCTGGATCCAAACAGATTCAGCAGAACTGGAGAAGGTCTTTGTTTCCCTTCTTTTTTTCAGAGAAGCACCCTTTCTGTGAAAACCTGGTACCCATGTTGTCCGGGAGTCTATGCCAGCTAACACTGGATGAACAGGGCACACCTTAAACAGCCCACCAGTCTATCACAGGGCTTCACGTCCACAGTTTGCACATATGTCCAAGTTAGTTTAACTCGACTAACTAGCAACGCCGCCCCCCCCCAACCAGTCACAGGAAGTTGCCCAGACCTTCATGATGACACGTGACAGTGCTAAGAACTGCAAAGCTACAAGACCCAATGATGCTTTTAAAATTGATCTTCCTTTGTAAATATTGACTGGCAGAGAGAACAGGAAGTCCTCGAGGCTACAGCTTCAAAATTCCCCCAAAGGCTATAAGTCAGCAGACTTGGGTTCCCAAATTAGTCACTGTACATTTCATTGCTGAACTGGAGAATTGAGAGCATTATGCTTATAGCCAATGTAGGCTTGAGACACAAGGCACAGAGGTCCATGGTAGCCTATGGAGTCTAGATAGACCACAGTGTAAAATTGGCTGACCTCCCCTTCAGAGTCCAGACACCTTCAGACATGTGCACAACTGTACTTGATGCACAGAAATACACACACCAGCTGAACCAACTGCATCCCTCACCAAATAAATCGAGAGCAGCAGAGGAAAATGGCCCTGTAATTGGTTTCAGTGGTCCATCTAAGTATTGCAGCTACATGCTGTCAGTGAGAATATCCGCCAACTGGTGTTCCGCTGACTTTGTTAGATAAGGCTTAGTCATGATGAAGCAGTGTCCAGATCACAGTTGGAAATATTAATGGGATGTGGCATGTTTATACCAGAGTGTATTAACTCCAGCAGCTTAGCACCGATCACGACAGCTTTACACCGTTAACTGAGCTTTTGGACTTGTTGTGAAATGACGACACGATTGACTGACCATTTGTAGCAGAACATCGTGGGGACTTTGATGCTTTCCGACATTTGATAAATGTCACATTGAAATTTGGGAAATTACGATCTTCATCTTTCATCGCTTTTTTTCTCTCCCGCTTTTCAGATTTATGGGCCAAGCAACGAATGAATCAACTGAGAAAATAATAACAAGATTAAATGATCACAACAGAATCATTAGCTGGTGCCCTAAGGAACTCCTTTCAAATGCTGCAAGATGTTTCCCACTGTCTGCAGGAGGAGAAAATGTCTAGATAAAGCTGCTTCATAATAGAGTTTGCTAACATACATGTAGAACAACTCAGCCAGTTTGTGTGAGAGAGCGCAAGCCTGATCCTGCCTGTGACAGCATGTTTCTAACGTACAGCATGTGTGCTTAAGAAGTGGTCACAATGTGTCACATCTGTACGGTCAGATGTGACACTCTGCACGGCCTCTCTGCAGTGCAATGAATTATACACAGACTTCTCAGCAGAAGCCTCTCACTTGAGTGTCTTCCATATCCACCCCTCCACCTCTCAGTACAGCAGAGAATCTATTTCCCCACGCAGTCCCACTTTAGGCCTGCCTCTGATTGATTGTCTGTTAAACTGCTAGTGTCTGAGAGACAGAGTGCCAGGAAGCTTTACAGTGTGACTCTGGGTCCAGCGCAGAACAGCATAGAAATGGAAGAAGCTCATTCACTGCACGAGATAGGTCTGGCTCATTAGAAGGGATGTGTAATTTGAATGTAAGTGGACACAAAACTAGCCAAATTTCAACCCACATATGCACGCTGTGTGCAAAACATGGCTCTGTTGCCATAAGTCAGACGTGCAGTCAGAGATTTAGCCATCTCCCTGACAGAAGTCTCACCATCAATAGACACACTGGGACAAAGTTATAAACCATAAGAGCAATGAAGCGAGATCTGTGAGTAATCTTGCATTTGTGTACACCTCCACAGCTCGTCTGAAACAGCAGGAAATTGGAGTGAAGGTAGGAGTAGTCAAGATGATATGACCACAGTGATAAAACGTGATTCCTAACAATTCATCATTAATATGGAAATCAATCATAGGGATCCCTTTTTAAATATGTATACTTATTTGCCTTTCCAAGCCTCACATTGTGGTAGATAATGGAAAATCAAACACAGATCAAACGGGGGATTCATGAAATGTTGATATCAGTTTGTGCTCTGTCTCTAGGAAAACGAACAGAGGAGTTTTTAATGAACAAAAAAAGTGACTTGGCTCAATATTGCACAGACACAGCACTGTGACTGAGTACCTGCAGGTTATACTGCCAGACTATTGGACCTAAAAGCTCAGAATTGTGAGCCTTCCATCATATA